GCCCGCGGCTGGCTGCGAGGCCATCGCGGGCGAGGGTTCTAGTTGTGTGGGATGGGTTTAGCAGTGTTAGTGTTGATATGGCGGACCCAGCGCAGCACTAACAGTGGGTGCTGGTGGATTGGTATGTAGGAGGGAGTTTTTCACCTGGCCGACGTACTGATCGTTCATCTCAGCATTGATGTTTGCTCCTGCAGCTAAGAGAAACTCCATCATCTCGATAGAGTGGGCATCTGCGTTTGCACCTTCGATGAGCGCAATGTCGAGCTCTCTGCGGTATTGATCGAAGGAGATTGTAGGACATTCCATATGCCTCCGTGAAACATCAATCCTCATTCGCGCCAGGATATTCATCATCGTCTGTTTCTTCCATCTCCAATACTCAGCTTCGGACGCATACGGCTTGGTGGGTCTGTACCAAAAGGTGAGGTGATAGCGGCTGCGAGCGGCGAGCGCGAGGGATCGGAGGTGCCCGTGAAATTCGTCGGGCCGTATTGCAACTTCTTCCTTGGGGAAATTTGACCTCGAGCCAGGGCTGTATACTATTTCCGCCCCAGCATCAAGGAGGCCGTCAGCGATCCTAAAGCTGCCAGCTCTCAACGCTTCTGCGAGATTTGTATGTAGGTCCTGGGGAGTGATGGCCTGTTTCGGTGTTGACTGATGCTTCAATATCTGTATTAGAGTACCCAAACGGTCGCGCTCAATGGCCCACGTCATTGGATCTGTCCCTCGGAAAGGAGTGCGGTAGAGGGCGCACTTGGCGATTCGTGCTAAGCCGCGACATGTGCGAGCAAGGCGGCTGATGGTGGTGGCGTCGTCTGCTGCGCTCAATATTTCCGTGATCAGCTCTGGCGGCAAGTCTCCCAATGAGCTTATCGATTTAGTTGCTCTTTTCTCGGCATCTTCAATATCTTCGTCGTTTGAGTGTAACATATCGTTTACTTATCCTCCAACGCCGCGGTTGAGAATCAAAGTTGTCTAGAAATCTGAAATAGAGGTGTATTTCTTGCAGATCTTAGGAACCTCTAGCAAATCACTTATCTTCTTTGGTGTACATTCCAGCGAAATTGAATACTCTTGGCGAAAATAAATACCGCCAATACTCGAATTTATCGAACCAGCTTCTTTGTCCTCTTCGTTGCTCTCACCACCAATTGCACGGACTCCTTGAGTTATTGGAGTCCAGTCATCACGCTTTGACTGTGAACATACTTATGTTCAACACGTCAATGAATGAGAGCCCGAGTACCGCGTGATAGTTTCAAGGAGCTTCCACTTTGCCGCCTTCCAAAACTCTTGATCAACCCACATGGACAAACACAACTGCACACCATTTCCATCACACCCCATAAAAACCGCCATGAGAACAGTTATGCAACATACTGAGTTTGGGACTATTAATCGAAAACTTCGAGTCTATAGCGCCTTACGGCGGTCTTATTTTACAAGAAACACCAGCCTCCAGCAGCATCGCTCGAAGCTCAGTGACCGTCCTCCCGCCATCGCATCCGTCCTCCTCTTCGTCACTGTCGTACTCCCAGTCAGACCCGTGCTGGTCGACATCCTCTCTGAGCGGATTATTCTCGTCGACATAGGTGCCCCAACACGGCCCCGGATGATCGCTGTCGCACTCCCAGCCCGATAACCAGACCTCTTTGAGGTTGAGATAGGTCCCCGCTTCAACTGCGCCCGCCAGCCACTCAATCTCTTGGCGACATTCGTCGTCTCTTGGGTATCCGTCAATTTCGAGGGACCTCAGACTTTTTGGTAACATGTGCAGGATGCATTCTTCATCCCACCCCATCTCCCACACTGAGATCCCGAGTTCCTCGAGGCTGGTGAAGGCTGCAACCGAGCCAACGCAAAGACCATCTTCTTGCCCCTCTGCCCCGAAATTTACGTCGAGCTTTCGAAGGGTACTAGCGTGCATCAAAAGGGCCGCCATGGTTTCGTTCGGGGCGTGGCCTGTGTCCGGCGAGAAGGTGAACTCCCGCAGCCCGCGGCAGGATCTGACGACGTTGGCTATCGCCGCTTCACTCGCGTCCACGCCCGTCAGCTCCAGAGACGTGAACCCGCTCCAGTCTAGGTCTTCGCCGTGACTAAGGCGGGCTTGCCAGACCTGGAGCTTCCTAAGGCTAGGGGCAAGCCGGAGGAGCGGGTTCATCCTGGCCATGAACTCGCCGGTGGTCGAGTGACACCGGAGATGGCTCAGCAGCTCCAGGCGGGCCGACGTCTCCCCTGGGCTGGGCATGCATTTGAAGAAGTCACCTCCGACGAAGAGGTCGAGGGCTCTGACATTCCGGGCCATGAGGACTATCAGCGCCGTGATGAAGCTGAGGTTGTTGAACGCCTTATGCCACGGCTCTAGGTTGGAGACATGCCCTGGAGCTTGGAACCATGGATGCGACAGTTGGAAGCCGAATTCCTGCAGAACCTGCGACACGAACGCGATGTCGTCCTCGTTGATGACTTGAGGGCCGAAAGGCAGCTCATCGCCGGAGAGGTAGAGCGTGTGGACGTGGCCCGCGAGCTCGGGTCGCTCATGCCACAGCCGGATGAGGCCGATCAGTTGCCGTGTCGTCGGGTGACCCTTACGTCGGGGCTGCGTCAGGCAGAGGTGCCTCCAGATGAGAGGCTCAGCCACATCGCGAAGGACCCGACACGTTCGTGAAGCCGCTTTCAAAGTGGCCAAGTCGGCGGCGTTCGGCTGGAACAGGGGTAGGACCAGGTAAGCGACGTGGCTGTTGATGTTTAGGAGGTTTGAGAGAATCTTTCGCAGCAGCTCTGCCGGGAGCTGAGTCAATTTCGTCATGGCTGGGATTCAGACTGTAAAAAGTTCGTGGTTGAAATAAAGGCGCCGGAGCAATGAAGCTTAAAAGTAGACAATTCAAATAGCGGAGCTCGGACACGATTAGGATTGCCTGCCTAATCCGATTTGTTATTTTTAGATTGCGATGTTGTGTCGACGACGCTAGTCCCAGTTGCGAGCGGCACAGCTAGGCAGCAGGTCCTCTCTACCTAATCTGGTTGGGACTTTTGACTCGAATTGTGATTGTTTAACCAGAACGCCTGCCGCGCCCAACTCACCGCTCATCATCACAACAACCCCCGTCTGTTAGAGTGTGTGTACCAACAAGGCTGGCGGAACTCGAAAGACAAGCTATATAAGATCGTATCAATCGCACCTGTCATTTCCTTAGAAAGTCTTAAAGGTCAGTAAGGTGCCCCGGCAGCTAGAAATTGCTTTCCGTACCCATTTTGTAACAGAGGGCCTACTTTTCCTGTGCTAAAGTGCCTAATTTTCCTGTAGTAACATGCTCTACCTTGCTGTCGTTGTCGCTGCTATTATCGTCGTCGCCCTCGTTAGCACATTATCCTTCCTTCCGCTACCGTCTGTAGTAGAAATAATTAACTACGCAGGTCATATATCTACGCAGACATAGGAAAATTAGGAGGTCTCCTTTATAATTATTTGGAGTACAAGACTTCACGTTAGGTCAGCGCCGCCTGATCACAGACCATTGGCATCAAAAGCTGGGATAAGAGCTTTCATGAGGATTTGCGAGAATCTTTCCAATTCAGGTATTATTGATTATCAACAGACAAATAGAAAAAGTCCCGTTTCCACCTAGTCGAACGTCCCCAAAACAGAGTCCATTAAGCCGGAGTCATTGTCTTAAGCCTTGGGGGGGTTGGGGTTGGGAGCGGGAGTCGCAGCCTTGGGGTCGGGGACGTTGGGGCAGGTGGCGGCGTCCTTGGCGTCGGTGCAGTCGCGGCGGATCAGCTTGGCGCCGTTGTAGACGTCCTCGCAGCTGCAGTCAGAGCAGTCGTGCCAGTAGCACTGGTTGTTGTCGTAGTAGCAGGCAATGCCGTCCTCAGAGACGCAGAGCTTCTGTTGGAGCAGCCTTGTTAGCAAAGTTGGACGATGTGAAATCGAGATCGGGCGTCACTTACGCGAGCGAAGAGGTTGGAAGCCTCGTTAGAAGACTCGAGGGGAGCAGCGAAGACAGCGCCGAAGAGGGCGACGGCGGAGAAGATGACGGCGGACTTCATTTTGAATGTGGTAAAAGAGTGGTTGTTGGTTGTGAAAGAGTGTGGTGGTTTGTGAGTTGGTAGCGAATGAGTGACTGTTGACTGAGCTGTTTGAGTTGATGAGGAAAGAAATTGTCTGAAGGAGGAGAACAGTTGCCTGCTTTATAGAAAGTTGACGTTCATGGGCTCTCTCTTCTTGTGACGTTGTTCTCTCCTCCCACCTCATGCCGTTGCCCCCATCGCCAACCTTACCCGTGCTGTAAACCTGCGCATCTACGGGGACGATGACTTTTGGGAAATCATCTCCGGATGGAACACTGACACACAGACCCGGAACACAGCCCGCGAGGAGCCCGGCAGGGCTGTGCTAGCCCACGATCCCCGCAGTCTCAGCCAAAAGCGGTGGGCTCACTATGGACTACGGAACAATATGCATATCAATGTAGTGCCAAGCTTTGTTGTAGAGGACGCTAAATAGATTACTTTTCAGGAACCGACAACCTCTCATTCGTCATTGCGGCCCGATCGAGGTTGCATGTGGTGCTAGTATGACAACTCAGGTGATTGTTGACTGATGTGTACAAATGCTTACCCCCTTTGGCCCTTCGGGTAGACTCTCCCACATTCCCGTGCCGAGACTAAGTTGTTGTCTATCGGGAAGCCTAAAATAACAGAAGTTATGGAGTTGTGGGTTAGTGCATGAATCGTCCGACCTTTTTAGTGGTTTGCGGGGAGCGCAGAGGCGCAACATAGGGGTTTCCAGTTTCATATGTTGCTTGATAGGAAAATACCTAGTTAGTGAACACAAAATTTTCTTTTATTGTGTTCATCTGATTGTTGAATTGGCTGGTTGACGTTGAACTGATCAAAGGTTCCAAAACAACTTGAAGAGGTGATAGTTCAACACCAGGTGATCGAAAGGCGACAAGGAACATCGCGCCATGTTGGTTCGGGACTCGGAATGGCCCCACTCTAGCCATCGGCATCTTCCTTCCAAAGGCGCAGATCCAAATTTCGGGCAGGTCCACAACCGATTCGACTTGCGATTCATGTCATCATAGATGATAGGTAGGAAGTTCAGTTGAGATGGGATGTCACTGGCGACAGAGCCGCAAGCGAATTCGGCATAATGCTGACGGGGTGACCTTAACGTCGGATGAACGTGCTTAACTTCCCCTTTCCGGAGGTGCCGTGCCCGGGCTCCATCAACTCCTGTTCCGGATTAAACAGCCACCCCCTAAAACATCTCCAGGCTGACTTAGGGCTTAGGGGCCGGCTACCGGAACTCCTAATCCCTAACCGCCACATTACGGGATAAACACAAGGCAACTTATCCGAATTGCCGACTTAACTCTATGCTAGTGGACTCCTCCGTAAACTCTACTTGTAAAGCTACCACCTGCCTACTCTGGCCTTGTGGTTGCTCGGATGATGACTCTAAGTGAAAGTTAACTCGGGACGAAGTTCTTTTAAGCCTGTCTACGGTCTAGTCTAGTCACGATATCCGTATTCCACCTCATGGCTTGTTCCGGCTGGAGCTCGACTAGAATGACATCGTGTGATGACTTGACGGTATGTTCCGTATAAGAACATTGAAGCAACCGCACACTTATGTGGGTCGTGTCCGAAAGCAAGACTCTACCCAGAGTCACTTAGTAGGGATCATTGCCTTTTGGCCGGACCGCTAAACTCAGACTGCCGTCACTGCCGTGTTGGCAAAAGACATGCTAGGCGTCAGACTGATTGCCGGACGTTTCTTGGGAATTTCGGACGTTTTTTTGGGAATATGTGGGGAGCCCATGAGCAAGTTCTTGACATACTGGTGGCCTTGCAACCTTTTTTTTTTAAAAATTCAAATACAAGCTGGCAGTTGCGCGTCAATTGCACAGCCGCTCGTCCGAGCCATCAGCGGTTGTAGGTCGGCGGATCCCAACTTGTGGGACACAACCGAGAATTACTGCGTACAGCATAAACAACAAAGCCCTCGGTCGGGAACTCACGGCTGGGTAGCTTGGCTGGCGTCCAGTGTCAAAGGCCTACATATTGCCAGGGCACACCTCCCTGAAGTCTTCAGACTTCAGCCAACCAAGTTTAATAAGAATGAGTCAGGTCCCAAGTTGTGCTTGAGGTCTACTTGGCGCATATAAATTGATCATGCCACCCAAAATCTGGAGCGTTGCCTACCACATACACAGTTCCACAAGGCTCAGTTCAGTTGTTGCAGAAGGTAAAATTGAGAGCTGAACTCGGCCAACTGACACCATTCTACCATGGATACATCCGCATTTGGAGTGTTGGGGTACTATCAAGACAGACTGTTCCATTCAGCCTGAAGTGCTGTTTTCCCGGAAGACCACGCGATCGGTTCAATGCAACGCAACAAGCGGGATGTCCCAATAGTAGAATGTCTACAGCACTGCTTTTCAGCTCAAGTCCTATTCGGGTGGGGCGAATGTTTGGTACGCTAAAGTTGACATTCCGTTCTCTTTCTGATCATTATCGTGAAAAGTTCGCCTTGGCGACATGCAGACGTGTATAAAAAGTCCCAAGAAATGAAGAAATTAGTTCTCAATCTCGCGAGGTTGTTCACAATTAAATTGATCGGCTGTCGTATCTCAAATCCCGAAGAAATAAGACATGAAATATCTTCAACTCGCGGCGGCAGTCGTCGTTCTAAGCCCACACGCAGTTGCGCAACAGGGCGCATGGGCTCAATGTGGTGGAATTGGGCACACTGGCGGAACAACCTGCATCACCGGCTATTACTGTCGCTACACAAACGACTGGTACTCACAATGCGTTCCCGGAAGTCCTCACCTGACGTCCTCCCCGGCACCGCAGCCCCCCTCGACCACCCTGCAGACCTCGACTACCTCGGCGGGTAGCCCCGTCACCAGTACCTCCACTGCGCCGGGGGGAGGTGGAACTGCTTGCCCCGCTCTGCCTAACGGGCTCGGCGCATCCACTTCGGTGTTGCCGGACCCCTTTACTTTCCAGGACGGAAGCAAGGTCACGACCAAAGCCGACTGGAGCTGCCGACAGGCCGAGATAAGTTCACAGCTTCAGCGCTTGGAGCTTGGGACGTTGCCCCCCAAGCCGCAATCCGTGACCGCATCCTACTCGGGAAACAAGCTCACCATTAACGTCTCGGACGGTGGAAAGTCCATCTCTTTCGCCGTAACCATCTCCAAGCCGAGTGGAAATAGCGTCCCTGCCATCATCGCCTACGGCGCCGCGAGCATTCCCGTTCCCTCCACCGTCGGTACAATCACTTTCAACAATGACGAGATCGCCCAGCAGCAAGGCGGCTCATCTCGCGGCAAGGGCAAGTTCTACGACCTCTACGGCAGCGGACACAGTGCGGGCGCCTTGATGGCTTGGTCGTGGGCCGTCTCCCGAATCATCGATGCCCTTGAGCTCACCCCATCCGTCGGAATCGATCCCACGCGTTTGGGAGTGACCGGCTGCTCCCGCAACGGCAAGGGAGCCTTCGTCGCCGGCGCCTTTGACTCCCGCATCGCGCTTACCTTGCCCCAGGAGTCTGGTGCCGGCGGTGCGGGATGCTGGCGCATCGCCGACTGGCAGAACCGCAACGGATTCACAGTCCAAGACGCCAAACAGATCGTTACGGAGAACCCGTGGTTCAGCCCCAGCTTCAAACAGTACACGAGCAATGTCAATCAGTTGCCATTTGACCACCACATGCTGGCTGGTCTAATTGCACCCAGACCGGTGTACATCATGGAGAACCCCGACTACGAGTGGTTGGGAACGATGAGCACGTATGGCTGCATGGGAGGGGCTAGGAAGAAGTGGCAGGCCCTGGGGTCTCTTGACACCTTCGGATACAGCCAGATTGGGAACCACGCGCACTGCAGCTTCCCGAGCTCCCAGCAGAGCGAGTTGACAGCATTCATCAACAAGTTCCTCTTGAAGCAGTCTGGCGGCTCGACAAGTGTCTACCGGACCGATCAAACATACAATAACTTCAATGTTGACAGTTGGTCGCCCTGGGCGGTGCCGGCCCTGTCTTAAGATCATTCAAGGCATCCATAAGGCTAAGTTGGAACACTCATTCAGAAAAGAAAGAAGGATGATTGGAATTGTTCAGCTATGCAATTTTGTCAATTGAATTCATTCATTCGCTGTAGGACGATACATACCAGTGGGAGCGTCAACCCTTGTGATAGGCCGACCCATACACCCATCTTGCAGTCTGAGTATTTTCATTGTTCGTAAGACAAAGGCAAGTTTCAGGGAAAATAATTGCCTGGGTCTTTGTCACCATGTTCATTTCGGCCACAATATCTTTACTTTCAATCATGTCAAGAGAAGCCAGTAAATCATCTGGATCCCGTAGTCCAGCTACAAAGAAACTGGTACCTAGTTACAAGGGTTTGAGCAGCTGAAAACGAATATTGTCTACCAATCCGCAGAATCTGTTGAGCTCGCGACGCGAAGCGGACTCTTTTCTTCATGAATGTCTCGGCCTTCGGATATTTCTTGATTTCCGTACCTGCAAATCTTTGCAATCCCGCGAGTTCATTTTACATCTAATTGTGGATGTGTGTAGCATTTTTCATGCAAGTACCCTTCACCCTCGTGTGAAGGTCGTACAATGTCTGCGAATAGTCGCTTCTGTTGACCTAAAACTACTCCGCGCCCCACAACTCGCGACACGTTGGTTGCAGCAACCCTCGTAGATAATGCAACATGACATATCCAACACCATATCAAGACCCACGAAGACTGCATGAGTGGTTCGATATACCGAGCGGAACGATTCCCCCGACCGGCGATGTGCATTGTTCACCGCATAAGCGCTGGGGATCAGCCGCGGGGTATGTGATATGTCGACCACGTCGTGCATCGAGAATGGCCGGAGGTAAGCAGCAACGAGGCGGTTTCCGAGATACCCTGTCGCCTCCGGGAGCTGAACCCGTTGATAATATCTATCATCGCGCTTCCTCGATCACGACATCTTTGCCTGCAATCACGCAATTGAAGACTAGCAAGGGACAAAGATGTCTAGATTCATCGACCGCCAACCAATTCACCCAAACCCTCGGGAGAAGGAGGTCATCCTACTCAGTTTCGGACGGTACGCAACCCCATGCCATGTTAACCAACAAGTGGGACGGCCCCCAATGCACCCCAACGATCTGACAATGTCGTTTCTAGAAACGCAACCAACGGATTCTACCACGCCCTGAAAATCCTCGGATACAAACCGTACCACCAGGTCGAAGTCTTCAAGAATGGCGTGTCACACATCCGCATGATGGACGACGCGGTCCGTGCCGGGTCCCTGGGCGAGGGCAAGAAGTTCACCCGAGAGGACTTTGACAAGTGGTTCGGGGACTACGACAGCGTCACCGACGTGCCCGCGTGGTTCCTCCCCGAGCTCGTGGCGGCATACCCGGACGCCAAGTTCGTCCTGACCGAGCGGGACCCCGAGGCATGGCGGCGCTCCGTGGCCAAGACCTTCCAACCAATGGCGACCTTCTTCACGACGCCCTCCGTGCGTCTGATTGGCATGTTCGACGCCTACACCTACTACCTGACCCAGCTTGGCCACAGCTTCCGACGAGTCCTCTACCGAGGCTACATGGGTGGAGATAAGGAGAGGGAGCTGGATGAGTGCGTCGAGCTGTACAACGCGCAGTAAGTTTATTCCCGCCCATCGTTCGCGCGCGCGGACGTGATCGCCGTCAATTATCCGGAATTCGGCTGTCAGGTGTCGGAAAGCTAACCGGCCACACAGTAATAAAGCTGTCAAGGAGTTGATTCCTCCCGAGAAGCTTCTTGTGGTCAGATTGGAGGATGGCCTGGGCTGGGACAAGCTTTGCCCCTTCATTGGCAAAGACATTCCGGACGTCCCCTACCCCAGAGTTAATGACACCGCAGAGTTCCAAAGGCTGGCGACAATGGACCTGTTCGCGTCGTGGAAGAAGACTGGTCTCAAAATGGCAAGCCTGATCGTCCCCCTCATTGGAGCGTCGATCTGGTTCGCAAGGCAAAGATAGTTCTGGTACAGACTCCATGTTTTAACAAAATGTCTACTTATCCTTCTTGACGCGAACGGCATTCTCTTCGTTGCAACCCACTACCAAGCAAACCGAATGTGCCCTCAAGTCTGAATCTGATGCTCCCAAACCAAGTCAGACCGAACCAACAGTGATCTCCACCATTCTCTATGAAAAACCTGTCGCAGAAAACGCCCAATGGTAAACTTCGTGACAGGCCCCGACGCTGGGCCGAACCATCCGTGCAACCTGACAAAACAGAATGCCAAAGCGCTTGCAAGTCAAAATAAACAGACTTCTCCCTTACAACTCCTGTGCTGCGCTCCTTTTTGTGCCAAACTCCAAACATTAATCCATCTCGATTCTACTGTCTGATAAGGGCATTAGTCTGGATGCTTCGATCAATTGTTGGGCGGCCACTTACGGTCGGGTAGACTTGAAAGTCACAGTCACTTCATTGGCTTCCTTGATACTTCGAAGCTCGTTCGTCAGGCGATGGACCTGGCTATTCGCAGCCGCGAGGCTTTGGCTGATGCTCTGGATGGTCTCGTGGTGACTGTCGAGGCGGAAACAAGCGTTTCCGAGCTTCGTGCCCATCGCTGTCTCCTGGCTCTCGAGCTCGCGAGACTTTAGCGTCTCGTTGAGCAGATGATCGAGCTTGAAGTTGATTTCATCAAGCCTTTGGTCAACGCCCTCGCGCCATTGCAGGAGCTCGTTGACTTTGTCACCAATCGTGACTGTGGGCGAAGGGGACGCCGGCGGCGCCTGCATCTTGGTAGTTGAGTTCGCGGTCTTTTGCATCTCTGACAGATCGAAGCTGGCCGTCTTTCCCTGAAGCAAAACCTTCTGTCAGCTCGGGAGGTACGAGTAAGGAGAGAAGCTTGTCTCAGCTCGAGCTGACCTTGGGGAAGTGGCCCGGCATCTTGGGCCAGTCCATTGTCGCGACCTCTCGAGTCTTCTTCTCGTTTGCGACTTTCCGGTCCATGGTTTGGGTAGTTGTCCAAGTTGCCAGGGGGGGTTTTACAAAACGTGTCTTGCCACCCCGTCTTTCGTGCCGCCTGCAATAACTTTGACTCGTAGTAGCGATACAGTGGTGGAAGCAAAGCGTTGAGTTTGTGTTTGTGAGAGTGTTTGTGTTTTTTGAGAAGGCGCTTGGTCAGGAGAGTTGTGAAAGAGAGTAAATATCGACGCGTGGGGTAACAGTAGACAAAAAGGAAGGCGCGGCGGTTGGTGATTGTTGATGCCTAATCTCAATTCTTTTCACGCCTCGTAACCTCCTTTGTCAGGCCTTACACCAAAGCTGACAGTGAAACTATTCCGACTGCTGACTAACTCTGACCACGTCCTTCCAGAACAGATTCCCATTATCGCCAACTACCCACAACCATTCTCATGAGATTTAGGACCTGGTGGTGAGCCCGAGGAGATGGCCGATTCAAGGTGTCCCACTTTTTCTCTCCCCAGGACGAACAGCCAACTTCAGATGACAAGCGGCAAGTTCCTTTCAAACGGGTACACGGCGGACCCCAAGCTTTTTTCACCCTTCAGCCGTTTACCCTCCAAAGTTCTACAGTGCCGCTTCTGCCGTCAAATGTCGGATCAGCCCATGTGGACACCTGGTTTGGGACAATGTTTGCGATTGTCTGAGCCTTGAGGGTCCATGAAGACATTCGAATGATAGGCCACTTCAACGGTAGGCTGGTTCTTACATTATCTTAAGAGCGACTAAGCTATGTTCCATCCGCATGGAGGAAAGTCTTCTGTTATCTGCAGCTTACGTGTCTAAGCCTCACCAAAATGCTATAGAACGCCCTGAATCCGCCCTGTTTTTGCGACTTTGGCGTTAAGCGTAAGCGAGGAGGGGATTCCGAGTCAAGCCCAAGACTCTGGAATTGACAGACACTTGTCAGGTAACCGTCTGAAATCAGGTTTGTTTGCTCATGCGCACATACCTGCTTGACTTCCAAGGCAAACGTTATTTGCTCAACGCTCAATGCAGCTGGCAACCTCCCCACTTCCCGCCCTCAAGAAAGCTTGACGTCTGGACAAGGTCGTCTCTCCAGATGATTGGGGGAACTCAGCAGCCCACCCTGCAGACTAGTCCTTCGGGAACAAGGCACCGAAAATCCAAATCGATATAAACATATAATCTTACCCAATAATCTTAACAACCAAGCTTCATTGTTAAATCCTTAGCGCGTCGAAGAATTACAGCCTGCGACCGTTAAGTGCCTGAATTCATCTAGACTCCAGGAACCAATGCCATCTGGTTGGCTCTCCCCTGGTCTGCGTCCGCCGGAACAGATCATCAAGGCCGTTGTGCAATCGCGATCACATAGAGTTTGGGGGCCGGGTCAGCGGTCACCCTTGTCGCAGCGTGGTAGTCCCTGAGTGATCCTGGGAAAGCGAGTGACACCCTACCAAGAAGCTGGATTCCCGACCTGTCTTGAAGTGCCTTTGGTCTCATGAAAGGGCCGCCCAACCTTGTCAACCCAGCGTTGAGGCGGCGCTCTCTTCCTCTTCGTGGTCGCCAAGGCTGTCTACCCGCCTTGGCTGTGCTCTTGGCGGCGTGATATGGGCAGCAGATTCTCACGAACACTCCCTCGAGAGCCTCAGATCAAGCAATGCGAACAGCGCTCAGTCTGTGCTTGGCGGCGCTTGGCGCTTGAGGCTTGGAGGTTTCCATAAATAATCCTCCAAGCGCAGATCTTCGTAACGGGGAGGCAACACAGCTTGGCGCTGGACGAGACATTACGCTTCTCTGCCAACATGAATTCGCTAACGACACCTATGCCAAATAGAACGGCACAATACTACCCGCGATGCATTTTTTTCGTTGTCGCTATCTTTTGCGTTTTCGTGATCGACCGGAGCCGAGATGACAGAGTTGCCCCTGAGCGTTTAAGCTGCTACCCGTCGGCGCCGGTTAGCCAGCGTTCCACTCTGTCGCGGAAGCGGCCGAGGGCGCAAGACGGTGGAGCATTCGACAAAAACATCAGACCGAGAAGCTCGCAAGCAGTAGACTCTAGCCAGCGCCCGTCTTGCATGAGTCGGGGGAAGGTTGGTCGCCATGGGAAAGAGGGAGAGAGCCACAGGCACCAACCTGTGATCCTAACGTGCGTGTGTGCGCGCCGGCTGTGGTGGCCGATGTTCTAGACAGGAATCCGTGTACAAGGTGGCTAAAAAGTCCGAACTCAAAACAAATCATTTTTGGCGGGAAATGTACCCTCACGGCTTGTTCTAGCGTGAGGCGACATGTGGGTTGGAAACAAGCTAGGCATTCCTAGACTGTGGTGGCTTCGGATTTTCTCAGGTGGGAGTTAGCTAGTAGGAGGAAGCCTCATTCACGAGAGCGAGAAGGAAGTGAAGAAAAGACTAGAGGGCCAAAGTCAGAGTTGGGGACACTTCGGATAAGGAGGGCAGCTTGTTTGGATGACGCGAAGCCTCAGGGCGAACTAACATTTGGGCCTCAATCAACCGCCGCCTCAACCCCAAGAGTCAAAATCGCGCCAGTTTGTGATTTCTTCGACGAAGATCAATCACTTATCGAAATGCGACTGGTAATACTGGATCCAGGGCGATCTGGCGATCTGGAGAAGAACGTGGGATTTTCCCCTGTATTCTCCCCTTTTCCTGCAAGGGGCTGCGGACACTAGGCGGCGGCCGAAAGACTAAACGGCGTACTGCCGACACCAAAACACGCGCGGGCGCCGGAACGGACTGGTAGGCTGGCCTCTTAGCTGGCCCAAATATGAGCTAGTGAGAATTATTCCGCTTTGCCGCTAGGCCGTTCGAGGAGAAGGCGCAGCGTGTTGGTTGCTGTGTTGCATGCTATGCGCCGCCTTAGTCGGGGACCTTCACCTGGGAAGTTTCTTCGGCCTTGGTGCGACCAAGTCGGCGTGACATCACGGACCAACTGCGCATACAGACGCAGGAGTAGCAATGCAATTTCCTATTTACTGCTGGTGAGAGACAGCAGGTCCATCAAGAGGGGGGGTCCAAGGTTTGTTTCAAACCCGGACAGAGTTCGCCGCTCGCGGCCAATCCCTGCCGTCGGCCCTCCTCCCCCAGCCTCTGTCCTAAACTTCTGGACGACAGCTTATCAACCGGACTCAAGGCAATGCGTGTCTCAGAGAAGGGTCAGTCGTGGAGAAGTCGGGTGTCCCTTGGGCAGACAGGCAGCCAGGAAGCAGAGAGGGGACACGGGGACGCACGTCGTCTGAAAATACCGCCCGTGCATGCCGAGAGCGACATGGAGATCAAGTGTTCAGGTGTCCCATCGCCTAGAACCAACACACTATACGGCGTGAACCTTTGGGTCCTCCTCCGGCGCGTCCCCCGTATGTCGTCTGTTCCCTCCAATACGCACGCACTGAAACGATGTGGGCTAACATTCATGCTCAGGCCACCGGAGGGGTTGGGCTTGCAGGAAATGGTGCGAAGCTAGAAGCTCGATGAGGGATCATGACGTTCCGGCGAAGGATGCGTGAGGCGTAAATAAGGGACCTGTTCCCGCATCTCTTCTTCATAGTGATGTTCGGTTGACATAGCCGAACGATCAGCACTCTTCACCAAAGGCGTGCCAAGAAAAAGAAAATGGAATAAGGGGCACTACATCACAAGACGATCAACTTCACTCATCATGAACGCTTACAACCCTCGTCGGGTGTCCTACCTGAGGGCTCCGGGGACGGGAGGCATGCCCAAGCCTTGGGTATCGCCTTACCCTTCGCTCAGCTCCATCGGATATCCACCTTCAACAAGATCAGCCGACGAGCGGTTCGCGTCCGCCGTATGGCATCGCACGTTCAACCACATCGACTATGCGGCATACAAAGCGGCCTGTGACGCGGAAAGAGCAGCAAAGCCGGAGCGAGACGCGGACGTCTTCTCAGTAACGGCATCATCATATCGCAGTGGATTCTCGAGACTAGGTGCCATGCTCACTATTTACCCGTACCGCGATATGGGATGGCTCGTAACTATGGTGTTCATCGCCGGAAGTATCTGCTTCTGCCTCAACGGCATCTTCACACTCATCCCTCTATTGAGTCCTGCTCTGGACTTCCCGGGACAGGATGCTGGTTATCAAACAACAAAGACCCTGGGAGGGGCGCTGTTCGCCTTGAGCGGTCTTATGGGATTGCTGGCAGCATTCAACGTCGACCGTGGCGTGTTGGACCCAAAGAAAGACGCGCCTGATGCGTACAAGCCAGCACTACTCGGCAGCGATGAATGGGTTTGGTGGGCCAACTGGTACGAGCTTCGAACTGTCTTCTTGCCTAGCTTGGCCTTCCGAGCTGGTATCCTTCAGTTTCTTGCCGGGTCTTCCTTCACCGTCTCCGCCGTCTCTGGGATTCCGGGTGTCCTCGATCTCTCACACCCTAGCGCCGGTATTATTTTCGTAACATCACCTCTCCTCATCGGTGGCGGTCTATTCGTGATCGCCGGTTTTCTGATGATCTACCTGTCTCAGGACAAGTGGTACGTCCCGAAGATTCTCGACGCCAGTTGGCAGAATGGACTCTGGAATTTGGTCGGCGCTGGTGCTTTCTTGGCTGTTGGCGTTGTCACCCTTCTCGCAAAGAATGCGGCTGTGGCTATCGCGGCGTTATTCTTGACAGGTGGACTGGGTTTTCTGATGGCTGCCCTGATTCAGTGGTACATCATTATGGAGTTCTATCCGACTGATCCTTATATGGAGGACCCCGCGACTGCGGCAGAGATTCCTTCACAGTCGATTTATTGACGATCTTACGATTTGGGGTTTGGGACCATGGGATTATATCAGAAAGAAACAGATTTTAGATACCGACTCAGATTATTTAATTTACGATGTCATGACCTTCAACAACCCTCCAACTTCGCTCCTCGACAGTGACAAGAACAGAAATGAATAAGCCCACTGTGCTCTCATCAACGCCCCGCGGCTGCTTAGGAGCCAGCAAGCTGCAACAATTTCAAATCAACGTCGTGAGCTTCACGATGGACGCATAACGCACTAGAACGCTTTCGTTGATATCCTCAAATTCAACCATTACCAGAAACTGAGGCGGGCGCGTCCAAACTATGCTGCTATTGATGTTGCGAGATGTTAATTAATAGTCACTGCCAACAATGACCAGCGAACTCCGCACGGCCGACTAAGCTTCGGCGACCGAGAGGGAGGGGGGATTTTGGTTCATTGATGTGACGCGGGGTAGGCACCTTGAATGAATTTCTCGCCAAAATCATGGGATGATTACTAAATTTTGATTTGGAAACGACTTCACTGATTATGTATTTGTTCCTGAAAATGCGCGTTTCTATTGTAAGGATGCACTACTCCCGTCCAGATCAATTTGATCCACTTTACATACCGTCACACATGCGATTGATTGAAGTTTTTCCATACGAAGGGTGAATTTCATATGAACCGAATTGTGACTAGACTAGAATAGATTGTATCTGATTGTCTACACTTTCTTTATCACACAACGGAGCAGCAAAGCTCCTTGGAAAGATTAAGGGCTCTCATCCAGTGAAATGCCCGTACAGATCAACTCTTGCTACGTAGACTGCGTATGTGTAATGCGCATGCAATGCGGGTTACCACATGATCCCAGACAGCAATGCCTGGTATACCGATCAGATAATGCCATACACTAGTTGTGTTTAGATTGGACATCCTTCTTTTGTGATCTTCGGGCAGCAATAGTGTAGAACAGGCTGCCGTCATAAATTCCACGGACATCTTCTTTCCAGATTCGGCCATCGGCAGGCCAGAGCATGATATAAGTGGCCATCCCTGTCCCAGGATTAGTGGCACTCATAAGGATAAATGAGAATTGTTACTAACATTCAAAGAATGCGCCTCCCCAGCCAACAGGGTCGAGAATCACCCGGTTGCCCTTGAGCATGGCAAAGATGTCACCAATGGTCATGTAGTCCCTGCCCTCGGCATACTTGGCAAAGATGTCTTCGAACTTTTGAGAGCTGAAACGGCCCTCCGTGTCGTATGCGCCGCTGTCACTTCCGTGCTTATCCCTGTGAATGTTGTCGATGAAGATGCGGAAGAAGGGATCGGGTAGGTACCCGCGCACTGTGGGGTAGGAGAAGTTGCCGTGAATGATGAAGACCGAGAGTGTTGAGAGAATGAGTCCAAAGCCAAGCTTGTAAAATCCAACAAAGGTGTCCAGTGGCCAGATGACACCATCTTGGTCCTAATAGATATTAGGATACCAGAATTCGATGAAATGGATGGCATGACACTTACACGGTCGAAGAACTCGCAGTGTTGTTGCAACACCTGTGTTAATGCCCGTTAGTTACCAAGTCGCATCTCAAATCAGCCACCGACGAAGAATCACTCACAGTTTGATGACGATGGATTTTGTTCCAATCATACTCCGTCGTGCCGTTCGGACGATCGTGCGTCGCAGCGATGTTGGCCCGAGCAGTGCCTTTGACGATGGTTAACTCCACCTTTCTACTAATGCAAGGGAGAATGATCTACCAGTGTGGGACAGTCTCTGGTCATCCTCGGGCTGCAGGAACGGCTTCCGCTGGGTGGTAATTGGGACCTCTGAGATGGACGAGATCACCGGCTCCCCAAGCATGTTGGAGGCCTTCTTCAAATTGGTGTACGTTTGCCCTTCTGTAGCCATGTTGGTGATGGGTGTCAAAAATGTGTGCAAGGAGTGAGAGCCACTCAGAACGGAGGTATTGAAAAGCGATCGATGCCGGGTTTTATGGAGCTATGTGATTGCTTGGTGTCTGTCTCACATTTCAATGACCCCTTCATGGTGACGTCAGTGTCTCTTCACGAATTGTTGAGACTGGGCGATCGGGCCATAATGGTACACGGTCTCGTGGTGTTGGTTTTGCATGTGATGGAATAAGCCACAAAGTGCGCTTTGTGCATCGCGATGTGGCTGAACAGGAATGCAGCATCGCGTCGCCGCGTCTTTCAATCGAGGGGCAGAATATCCCGCTGTCAGCATCGTCGTGGTGGATTCACGCGGACATGGAGTAGAGGGAAGACAGTAATAATGACATATGTTGACCCATCTGTTGACAAGCGTCAATTCGCCAATCGCTTATGGCCTGAACAAAATATCTGGGTAAAGGTGGACCATCGGGCTCGTGAACCTGGGGAAGATCGTGACATGACGCTGAACTGACCTCAAAGGCATCTGCCGCGACGATGAAATCATTGTGTCGTTCCCTGATGAAGAGAATGGAAGAAAACCATCTATAACCACTGCTATAAAATGGTCACACGTACTGGGCGAAGCAATAAAACAACTAAGAAACTTGCAACGCCCATCGACTAAAGCCCAATTTTTGCTCAACTACGATTCAAGAACAAAACTTATCTTTCTCTCAAAACATCTACCCACGCCAATTACTATGGATCAAGCACTGCAAACCGCACTCAGCACCGGCTTATCCTCGGTCTCTGGGTTCCATTCCAACAAGCCCAAGGGCGTTGACCCAGAGTTGGCCGGCAAAAATGTGCTGCCTCAAAGCTTCTGTCCAACTGCCAAAGACCGCCTGTCATTTCCCGCAGTCAATGGCCCCGTCAGGGCCTCTTACCTTTCCATTGGCGGCTGGCCATGGGGGGACAAGCCGACATGGCATTATGACGAGAGCGAATGGATTGAAATCCAGGAGGCATGGCAGATTCTCTATGACGCGGGCATCAACTTCATCGACACCACGGAGGCGTACGGAAACGGCGAAAGTGAGAAGATCGTCGGTGATCTCGTGCAAGGTCTTCCTCGCGATAACTTCGTGGTGCAGACGAAGTTTTCAGCACGCCCATGAAAGCGGAGAACTTCATCCACCCCATCGACGCACCCGTGACGAGCTTGAAGGCCAGCTTGGAGCGCCTGCGCCTCGACTTTGTCGACATTTACCTCGTTCATGGACCTATCCATCCTCAGAGCTTCTCGAACGTTGCTGAAGGAATGGCGAAGTGCGTGAAGGAAGGTCACCCGAGCTGTAGGGGTTGCGAACTACGACAGTGAGGACGTCTTCAAAATCCGAGACGAGCTGAAGAAGCACAACGTGCCTTTGGCTACGAATCAGTGCGAGTTCAGCGTGCTTCGTCGTTACCTCGAGATAACCGGTGGCATTAGAAAGTGCCAGGCGAGCGACATCGTTTTCCAATCGTACTCTTCCCTCGGGCAAGGGCGCTTGTCTGGGAAATACACACCTGAGAACCCACCGCCTAAGGAGTACCGCTTCAGCAGTTACGATATGAAGGATATTGAGCCGACCATCGCCACCTTACGAGAGATCGCAGAGAAGCGAGGAAAGAGCCCGGCTTCTGTTGCTCTCAACTACAACATCGGCAAAGGCGCTGTTCCAGTCGTCGGCATCCGTAGAGCTGAGCAGGCAAGAGAGGCTATTGAAGCGCTTGGTTGGAGATTGAGCGAGGAGGAGGTAATCGCTATTGATAAGGTCAGCGTCGAAGGCCAGACCACGTCACTCTGGCAGCAGGGATAAACAATTTGGCACTGACAGTGGCGAGAGCAAGAGATTGTGAACTACAAGCAAGCGACAGTTGTCTGTTTCTGCCCATAGCGTGTCAAACTATCTTGCGATTCTGTATACGAAAGAAAATGAACATTGGCAACAATCCTCAAAAGTGACACATGGACCTTGCTCATATTAAGGAACTTGATCGGTGACCGAAGAACTTAAGCAATGAAGTTTTAGCGACCCAAGTACCCATTGGCTCCCAAAACCGTTCATTTAAGGCGACGAGACTCTGTTGAGAGTGATTCATAATGATGTCGAACAGGACAAGAGGTGGCCTTTGTATTTCCATAGCGACATTTGACAACGGCAATGCATCATATCAACGCTGAACCTGGCCGGCTTCGCAACGCGACATACGAGGCTTCCTTGTCGCACATCATGGGACGAGCCTGTCATTTCTGCCTGGATTTCCCCACGAGCTTCCGAGAATATCTCTGACGCACTCCCGTGATTTGAAGGGTGGTATTGATGGGCGGCGAACGCTTGGACAGTGTTTGGGCTCAAACCAGCCGGCGACAACGGCTTCCTGTCAAGTAGCTGTTGGCAGTTCTCTTGAAAACCGAAACCACCCTGCGTCCCCGAGCCGCAAGCACCCGGCGTCCTGCCGATGGGTTGCCACGGCGTATTGTCAAGAAACACGTTCATCTCTTGGCAACGGCCGAGCGAACGACGCACGACAGAGGTGCATCGACCATGTGATTGGAAGGTGCTCGGATCTGCCTGATGTTTCTCTGTTAGTGCGCTCACGGCAGGGACTTTTCCCGACCTGCACGACCGTTGAGATTTGATCGAGGATTTGAGACCTGGGCCCAATCAAATTTAGGCTTTCGGACACCAGTGTTCAAGCATATTTCTGCCGGGAACTGTGAACATAGAGACGATTGGCCAAGTCAGTTCATCTCAATTATGAAAATAGCCGGTTCACATTGACCTCGTTCGCTAGTTTCCCAAAGAAGAAATCTTTGGAGAACCTAAACGACGAAAACATCAGGACATATGTGCACAAGCTGAAGCGAATAGACGAAGACAAGGATCCTCTGTACACCTTCGGTCATGAGAGTATCAATGCAAATCGCAAAACCCGAAATGATTCTTTTGCGGACTTTTCATCGTCTCAAGCCTCTTCTCTAGAACTTCTAGAACGCTGCAACGGTTGCCAGAAATGCATGCCATATGGCCCTGAGGGACAGAACGTGTACGATGGGAACCTTCCTCGCCATGTGTTTCTAGTTCAGATGATCACCGTTGGGTTCCGCATAGAATGTCTAGATCTAGACAACTCGGCCGAGAGGACTGAACGACCTGTTTTCCGTACAACGATTTAGCCTTCGCAATTGTCTACAGCTCGGAACGTACTGCCATGATGTCCGGTGGGTGCATTGTTCCCTTGTAGCAGCGCAGGTGACTCAACTCATCAGCGAAGATAAAGATGATTTCATGTTCCACGGCGAAAAGAAATTAGATGATGTCCGCAACACTAAGAGGATTCGGTCGCAAAGTGAGTCTAAAGATAGCAAGTAGTGGGTTGGGGAACAGCGTACACTGACAAAAATCAAAGCATCGAGCAGCAAAAAAGGATATGATCAGTGGGAGGCTTGAACTCCCGGCCTTGGCATTACTCAACACATCTGATAATGTATTAGTACCACGCTCTAACCAACTGAGCTAACCGACCAGTTGTGGATGTTGACGATTGGTGCCCTAACCCTGCTCATATTCGGTGGTGGAGATGGAAATGAGTCACGGAGAAAGAGTGGCTCAACGGACCCTTGCGCGGCAGCTTGCTCCGGCCCCACATTGAGGTTGACAGAGACGTCAAGCCTCAAAGAACTCCAGATTGGCAGTTGGGCTCTTAGTATGTTGCGCGGTTAATACGGCTGCTAAGATAGAGAATAGAAAAGCAAGGCAATATTGCGTCTGCTTGCGATAATGTGTTGTTGTGTTTGGTGAGCATTCAGGGCCCAAGTTCATCGCACCTAGCCCAGGTAATAAGCCAACTTCAACCAAGTGATCATCTTACTGCCTAATTGGGAACTTTCTGTGCATCAATATACTGAATATTCTAGGGTCTTCTCATGCAAATGTCTGAGTTCCGAGTATTACCCGAGACAAAATTGAAAAGCCTCGCAAGCCGTCGGTGTACAGCATATATCAAATGACTTGAAAGAACCATAGTAATTGGACCAGCGTGAGATCGAGCGCGTACAACTTTCTTTTTCTTAGGTCCGTTAGCACGATCTCGTGAGCTTGCAAGATCGCGAGGTAGTTCAGCGCATCACTTGAGAGACATCAATACATGCATAGGGGTAGATCAGTGTATCAGCAATGACGTGCTTGAATAACTGTCGGATCCGAACCCGAAACTCCGCAACGGCGCTATTGGTCTATTCGCCGGCATTCAGAGCGAAAACGCTCCAGGAACCAGGCACATTGAGGGGAGCTTCTCCAACATATTCCCCAAATGGGTAAGTCAGGTAAGTCGAGTGTAACGCAATGACTGTCCGCCCTACGGCGTTCCCCCCGAGTTCGGTCCTTCAAGCCATTGCTTTTCTCCCATTTTCTCAAACCTCTTTTCCTTTCGCAAACCTTCACTTTTAATCGCTTGAACACCTCCACTGCTGAGGAACACGGTCACCTATCCGGACCAGGCGGAGACGAGCTCACGGGCTCTCAGTCCACCGAAGAAAGCGCTCACGTCAACTGGCCTTCTACCCCAGATTCTTGAAACTTGATCTCTCGTTCGCCCGGTTGTGCCGCTCTGTCCAATCCATGAGTTAAAGCATCGCCAGACTGTGCACCCACGTTGACAGTGACGAACGACATGACAAGAAGCGAACCCGCCGCCATGGACTCGAACGTCCGGGAGCCAACGCACATCAATGCGCTGCGTCCCCGAGCTGCCGAAGACGAGAAGATCTCTTTCCTTTTGAATGGCCATTCCTGCAGCTTCTCGACCGACATGATGCCCGATGAGAGCCAAATCACCACTAGCGACCTCACCAGCAGCACCAAGGAAGCCAGCCACAGCAGCCAAGAGCACATCCTGCAGCAGCAGCAGCCGCACCATTACCATCCTGCGAAACAGCGATTTGTCAACCTCCCTCCGCCACAATGTACGAGCCGCTGTCGCCAATCATGGACCAAAGCCGTGTTGTACCTCACGGGCCTCATCCTAATCTCGGTTTGGTATGCCAGCAGGCAATACGGCGCCGGCAGCGGGCGCTGGCCAGCCCGCCAACCACCGCAATCCCCTGCTTCACCTTCACCCGTCCGGAACTGGGATTCGGCGGCCTCCAAGGCCGCAGCTTTTACGGCGCGTCTCAACCTTACCGAAAAGACCCGAATAGTTACTGGTCGTATCGGTCTTGAGGTCGGCGGCTGCATTGGCAACATCCCGCCGATCGAGCGCGTCGGCTTCCGCGGCCTCTGCCTGCTCGACGGGCCCACGGCGCTGAACCGCGCCGATCTTGTTAGCGTGTTCCCGGCCGGCCTGACAACGGCCGCTAGCTGGGACAAGGATTTAATTTACAAGCGTGGAAAGGCGTTGGGTGAGGAGTTTCGGGACAAGGGCGTCCACGTTGGACTTGGGTGAGTTTTGCAGTCTTTCCATGGTTATCACCAGGGCGCTAACATTTGACTTAGACCAGTGGCTGGACCGCTGGGCCGGAACCAACTCGGTGGACGCAATTGGGAGGGCTTTTCTGTCGATCCATACCTCACTGGTGTTGCTATGAGCCTCACCATCAAAGGCATGCAAGATGCTGGCGTGCAGGCGTGCGCAAAACACTTCATCGGCAATGAGCAAGAAACTCGACGAACTAATTCCTGGCTGGAAAACGGCACCGAAATCGCAGCGATCTCTTCCAACATCGATGACCGCACCTTGCATGAGCTGTATCTATGGCCATTCGCCGATTCTATCCGCGCGGGCGTTGCCACAGTTATGTGTAGTTACAACAGGCTCAATCAGACCTACGCCTGTGAGAACTCTAACCTTCTCAACGGGATTCTCAAGGATGAACTCGCCTTCAAAGGATATGTGCAGAGCGATTGGTACGCGACTCACTCAGGACCGGAATCAATCAATGGTGGCTTGGATATGAACATGCCGGGACCGATCGGCCAAGCCGAGACTTTCACGGGCGAAACCTACTGGGGACCCAACATCACGAAAATGATCAGCGACGGTTCTGTCACTGAGGATCGTCTTGACGAGATGATTCAGCGCATCATGACACAGTACTATCTGTTTGGGCAGGATAGCGCCGACTACCCGACGGTTGACCCATCCATCATCTTCACCATCGCAGCACAATCGAATCTTCTTCACTTGATCCCATTTGGGCCCCCACCGAGCCGCGATGTTAGACGCGGTCACTCCAAGATTATTCGCAAGCTCGGTGCCGAAGCCACTGTCTTGCTGAAGAACGTCAACGGCACCCTTCCATTGAAGCAACCCTCCAACATTGGCGTCTTCGGTAACGATGCGGCAGACCCGGCCGACGGGCTTGTCTTTGGCGCTGGGTTTGAGATTGGCACACTCTCAATCGGCGGTGGTTCTGGGACGGGCCGGCACACATATCTGGTTTCGCCTCTCGAAGCGATCAAGGCTCACGCTCGTGGGAATGGCGCACGGGTGCAATACATCCTGAACAACAAGGTCCTAGCTGCAGGCGACTTCAGCAGCTTGTACCCTATCCCAGACGTTTGTCTCGTGTTTCTCAACACGTTCGCTTCTGAGGGCTACGATAGGACAGACATCGAGGCAGATTCGACCTCGACGCTAGTTGTTGAGAACGTCGCTCGGCGATGCCCGAACACAGTCGTCGTGACACACTCGGCTGGCATCAACACCTTGCCATGGGCTAATAACCCCAACATCACAGCCATCCTAGCAGCCCATCTTCCAGGACAGGAATCTGGTAACTCCATCGTCGACGTTCTCTGGGGGAAGGTGACGTTCTCTGGGGGAAGGTCAATCCTTCTGGAAAGCTGCCGTATTCAATCGCCGCCAACCCGAACGACACCAACATCCCAGTCGTTAACCTTACTGAGGCCGAGATATCCTCGCCCACAGCATGGCAAGCCGATTTTACGGAGGGCCTGTACATCGACTATCGGCATCTAGACGCCAAAAGCATCGATCCACTGTATGAATTTGGCTTTGGCATGAGTTACACCACTTTCGAATTACAGCCATCTTTGAAGATAAGACAACTTGTTCAGAGCGTTTCTGCTACACCGAACCCATCTACACCTAATACCCCAGGCGGGCACCCGGAACTCTGGGAACCTATAATACGCCTTACCGCCCGTGTCACTAACACGGGGCTTGTTGCTGGCTCGACGGTACCCCAGCTTTACGTGTCCTTGCCTCAAGACACGGTCCCCAATGGCACTCCTGTACAAGTTCTTCGAGGGTTTGAAAACGTTTTCTTGCAACCGAAACAATCTGCAACAGTTGGTTTTGAACTTCTGCGCAGAGATCTTAGCTATTGGGACGTTGGGTCTCAGAGTTGGGTCGTTCCCGAAGGCTCCATTGCATTTAGAGTTGGTTTTAGTTCTCGCGATATAAAGGCTACAGCGAAGCATGTTGTTCGTTGATAATTCAAGGTTCGGAAAGTTGGTTTCATCGCAGCGAACGAAGCAGGAGTACAGGAGTTCACATGTATTTCGTCTATAATTCTTCTCGTAATCAAACAATTTGCAATTCGGTCTCCTCAAAATCTGATCCCACACCTTCGCCATCCATAAGATCGTGAATGTAGCAGTCACCTATGATGCGCCACATTCCATCACCAGCTTCACGAAGTGTAAAGACAGAATCACATCCATTAAATAGGGCAACGATATCCCCAGGTTGTGTACCATCAACACACCATCCGAATCTTCCTGTATCGGAACGGAAGAAGCGTCTGTTCAAGCTCCACTTCGCATTCGCTCCGATGACCAGCTCAAGATTCTCCTTCTGTTGCAGGTAGTACGAGTCGGCGTCGCGTAAGGATAATCCGTGGTTATCAATCTGATCTGCCAGGAGCTGTTGAAGTATCCCCTCGGGTCCGTCCATGAGGGTCATTGTCTTCAGGTAGACATCAAAGCCGGTGGCGCATCCATCTCGCGGGCGCTCATTCTCTCGAGTGCGGTTGTACATGAATGCTCTCCAGAGATTCTCCCACGTTCTTGGCGTGACTTTCTTGTCCGGGAATGCAACGTCCACAACACCGAGATGCCAAGCCTTCGCATCTTCCCTGGTCTTCTCGATGATCTTCATATATCGGTATCGGGCATCCTTGGGAGTTCTGGTCTCACACTTGGTTTTTCCTTCAGACATGGCTTCCTCGCTCTCGGTGCAATCCGTTTCCACATCATCTCCTGAACATCTGGACATGGATTTTGCGACCTTGTTCGCTGGTTGCCAGGCGAAGAAGCTTGGTGGAGATCGTTCAGGCTCAGCATCGAAGATTGGCCCGCCGTACTGCGACATTTCGAATTTGCCCCAATCCCCGTCCTCGTCGTCGGCAGGGTCCATTGGCCCAGCCTGTTTTGGGGGCGGGATTCGACGCTTCATCTCAATGGCAGCGACCTGGTCGAGAATTCTCCCTTTGATGCGAAGAATCGTGCCGCCTTCTTCAATGAGAAGCTCGGGGTTAGCGTTTCCAGAAGCTTTCATTTCTAAGCCTCTGATTCTGAGCGGCTCGGTCCACCCGGGGCGTGTCCAGTCCGGCACCCATGAAGGCAAGTTCAACGTGGTGGGTTTGGGGGAGTCGACGCAGTGGGTTAAAACGTCCATATGTCCAGCCTGCAACTCCCTAGCGGCAAAGTCTATGAAGAGCTTCTCCGCTGGTTGGGCGTAGTCGACCACAAACTCGTCTTTCCGCTCCGTTAGACCTAGTACGCCGTAAATCTTATCGCTTGGTATGGTCGCGTTGAAGTCTCTCAGCTCCTCTAGCAATCCCAGTAAGGGCATGGTCGAGAATGGCGCGGATTCGTCGATTCGCTCCTGCCTCAACTGCTCCATGACGGCAATTGTTTTGAGTGCTTTACATTCAACAATGGTGCTCTGGAGTTTGTACATCTGGATCGCGCGGATTACACTCGATAAGAAGGTCCATCCAAAGCTGAGACCCCCGATGTGCACGCTAATGTCCTTGGAGTTGGCGACTTCTTGTATGATCCATGTACGTTTGAACTATGTATAGCTGTCAGTTTGTCTCTCATGCTCTACCCATTCAGTGAAGATACACATACCCATGCCCTGTTTAGCATTTCAGACAGCAAGCCCCAGTCTAGCCGCTCGGTGTTTGCTGTCTGTTCAAAAAGCCACTGAAACTGAGGAACACTCATGTCAATCTCAAACAGACCCTTTTTGTACAAATCGTCAAACACATCCGAAATTGCCATTAAGGTCCTGAAAGCATGGAAGTCCATTTCTGTCGATTCGCCGAGCCACACCCTTGTCCGCGACGCACCCGCGTAAATCTGGCCCATGATCTTGACGTGCTCATTGCGCTCAGAAATGTCCTGCTGGTTGATGCAGAGAGCATCAACCCAAATCCGCAGAGGGGCCCCGTCCTCCTCTCTCAACCTCCTTAAAGCGCGAAACAGCTCGCCACCTACAACGACAGTCACGCTGTCGCAGATGATGGGTGCGTCCGGCATCTTGCCGCCCAAGCGGATGTAGGTTTCGCCCATGTATGGGTGGTCTACCAGGTCCTTGAATTTGAGGGTTCCCCCCTTCTCGACGAGCTGTTGGTCTTCGTCTTTGCCGTAGACTGCCCACGGAAGCTCGTCATCGGGGTCGATACCGGGGTCCCGGTCTATGCCTTTGCTCCAGCAGTAGCTCAGTGCCTCATATGGCTCATCGGGGGATGCGATGTTGATGTGGGAAAGGCTACATATTATGTCCTCGGTGAATTTCCCGGGCTGGACGGTAAGAACACGGGTCTCGTGTGGTAAATTGAGCTTACGATAGTGATATGTCGCCATGGTATCGTAAAAAAGTTGTCGATGATGTACAGAAATGGGAATGGAAGTGCACAGATGACGCTTCTCGAGCAAGATCAAAAGTTTCACTCATTCATGCGTCATCTCCCATTTAAATACCAGCAGGTTGCGCCTTGGGTTGCCTCCAGGAGCATGATCTCTTGTAGGACTGCTGGCTGTGCCAGGCAGCAGCATGGAGCAAACCCCCTGCACGCATAGCATCGTCCGCGATCAATTGGTGGAGAACCCCGGTCGTTGGTTAGGGCTGAGCGCTAGACCGCCGTTGATGTTACCTTCATCCTAGAATTGACAGCAATTAGAAATTAAAAAAAAAAGGACTTTTGTTGCAATCGCTGACTTTGAGGCACTCTGCGAAAGTTTGACGTCAATCAGAAAAGCAGCCTCATGATTTGGTTTTCTGGAACAGCCCGGGCGCGAATAAAGAGTAACTTCCTGTTCTGGAGGGTGGATCTGGGGGTTCCCTTTACATACCCCAAGCTGTTGGAGATCATGACAAACAAGTATTGCAAAGTTGGGGTATATGAGAATATAAATACGCCGCAGGTGGAAACGCTCTTATCAGTAGCCTTTTTTATGTGCTTGTGTCTCAATTCTCATCAACGTTACAGACATTCGCTATAAGTTTCCTAAGGCTTGAATATGGCTACTTCTACAGGCCCAGGACTGCTGCGTCAGGCACTGAAAATCGCTTGTATCCAGTTTGCAAGTGGTACATCGAACTCACCTCCCACATACAAGAAGTGAACAACTAACTAAAACAGGTTCCGATAAAACCCTCAACCTTCAGAAAGCTCGCCATTTCGTGTTGGAAGCGTCAGCTCACGGCGCCAAGATTATAGTACTCCCGGAATGCTTCAACTCGCCCTACTCTACAGCATCCTTCCCAGAATATGCCGAGGTCCTTCAACCAGCCCCGCCTCCGGAATCTTCATCCCCAAGCTTCCACGCGCTGAGCAGTATGGCTAAAGATGCCAGCGCCCATCTCGTCGGTGGCAGCATACCAGAGTTGGAGCCCGACACACGCAAGATCTTCAACACCACGCTCGTGTTCTCGCCTCACGGAGAGCTCCTCGGAAAGCACCGCAAAGCCCACCTCTTCGACGTCGACTTTCCGGGCAAGATGACCTTTCGCGAGTCAGACACACTCTCGCCGGGAAACTCTATAACCACAGTAGATCTTCCGGAATATGGCACAATCGGACTTGGCATCTGCTATGATATCCGGTTCGCAGAGTTTGCGACGGTTGCATCCCGCAAAGGGGTTTTTGCTCTGATCTTCCCCTCGGCGTTTAATAGCACGACGGGACCTCTGCACTGGGAGCTTCTTGCCCGCGCAAGAGCCCTTGACAACCAATTGTATGTGGCTATGTGCTCGCAGTCGTACGAGCCCGGGTCTGGGTATCCTGCGTGGGGCCACAGCATGGTGGTCGATCCGAATGGGCAGATCATTGCGACTACGGAGAGGGGGCCGGCGATTGTGTATGCGGACCTTAATGACGCATCTATCGGCGAGGCGAGAAGACAGGTACCGATTGGATTCCAGCGGAGATGGGACCTCTATCCCGACATTTCCAAGCTTGTATGATCTGGTTTCTGGTACACCAAGATGGACGGAGTCAAACTTCAGTATAGAATGAGTCGGCTTGAAAGCTACGTCTGTTTCTACAACATATTCTAGAATGAGAATCCTTCTATCAAGTCCTTCAGCGATACCAACACCCCTTTATCCCAAGTCGTGACCTTGCCTTGCCACTTGTCCCCAGCACCTCCTCCCTTGACGTCCTTGACCAGTTCTTTGATCTTCGGCACCAAGGCCTCGACGCCGGCCTTCTGCCCCAAGACGACAAGCTGTCCACCCTGTTTGTCCTCGCCAGTAGCCACAACCACCAAGCCGCCAGACGCCGCCAATGCATCCTTGACATTGACCGTGACCACCTTGACGAAGTCGGCGTTTCCATCGCCACGATGTACCCAAACAGCCTTGCTAGTCTCTAGCTTCGCCTTCGCAGCTTCGCCTTCGAACTGCGCGATATCGGCAAGGAGCTTCTTCTCTCTCTTCTTCAGTTCGGAAGCAGTTTCCTGTGTCCTTTTCACAGTCTGGATGACTTCCTGCGGTGCGCTGGGGCAGGACAGTAGTTTTGAGGCAGAGCTCATGGCGCCGATGGCCGCTGTGGCCAGATTGATGGCTCGGTCGCCTACAGAAAAGTACAGGCGGTAGTTCTTTCCGTGGACTGACTCGCCGTGATGGACGAGGATGAGTGAAATGTGAGAGGTGGATGACAAGTGAGTACCGCAACATCTGCGCAGCACAATTAGCAAATACTAAATGGCGAGTCAAATGGAAGACGCACGTGTTGCGGTCAATGTCTCCGATGCGAATCACGCGAACGACACCCTGGCTCTGATCGTAGTCCTCGGGCATCTTGTGCACTTTCGCATCGTCAGGGGTTTCAACTGTAATGGGCAGGCTGGACCGTATAATCTCGGTGCATCGAGCTTGGATGGCTTGTAACTCGGCGTCTGTGGGCTTTCGGGGAAGGTCGACGTAGTTCATTGCGCCGCTCTTGCCCATCCCCCAGCCGAGGGTGTTGAGGTTCTCATGGGTGTCCATGACGGCTGAAAGGAGATGCTGGCCGGTGTGCTGTTGCATTTGGTCCCATCGTCTCTGGAAGTCGACTTCTTGACGAACGCGGTCTCCTGGAGACAAGGGCTGCGGAGAGTGATAGACGCAGCGCAAGCCGACTCTTTCTACGAATTCTATCGGGATAGGGGTCTCTGAGTCACCTGCGAGCAGAGTGATGGTGCCGTGATCTGAAGGCTGGCCTCCACCTACGTTCGTCACTTCATTAGCCTCAAAACATGATAACATAACGGAAGACACCAACCTTCGGGAAAAAGAACCGAATCATCAAACTCAATCAGCCACATCTCAGACTTGTCAACACCATTGGACTCCTTCGACTTGTCTTTGCCTCCATTCTTCTTGGCAACCGGCGACGAGCGCTTCTCGCAAGAGATGACCTCTGCCTCTAACGTCTTCAGATATGAGTTCCGTTGACAAGCCAGGGCCCCGACCACCTCTGGCCTTTTTGTTGATTCCGTGACCGCCATTTGGGAGAGTCTTGCGGTGTTTCGTGATGAAGAAAAGTCGAAATGTTCCAGAACAATCTCACCAAGATTACCAGATAAGATACGTACACATCGCTATCGGCCCTCGGCATGATGAGATACCGACCTAGCAATTAGTAGCTCACGTGACTGAGTTGGAGTTGTTCTCCAACTCGAGGTCGCGAGTCATCCATACAAGAAATGAGAGTATGATCTCCAACATGGCATTCAACTTCTTCAATCAAGCAATCATCACGAAAGACAAATGTCTTGGACATAAACCCAATATTAACATTTAAGCAGCTTCTAGTGACAATACTGACACAGCGCGCGGCCTTTATGGCGCAGCATTAGACGCGCACGTCCACGGCTTCGTCAGCGACTCGGTCGCGATCGCCTCAATGGACGCCCACAGGCCAAGCACGCAAATGAGGAAGCCCGTGAGGAACAACATGACGTTGGCAGCGAACTTGCAAGTCTGCTTGCCGTCTCTGAACCAGTTGCCATAGTGCATCCACAGCCAGAAAATACCGGGCAGGCCGTACGAGAACCACGAGGCGAAGAGCGCGCAGATGAGGCCCAGCAGCGAGTTGAAGACGGGGATGGACTCGGCGATGACCATGGAGAGGGCCCAGATGCACACAACGATGCCGATCCAGGCGATGGTCGAGATCTTGGTACGGCGGATCATGTGCTTGGTGTTGCGGAACATGCGCGAGAAGATGTACTTGGCGGCGACGTGGCCGTAGATCACGCCGGCGATGACGATGGTCGGGATGGCGATGCCCCAGATGGCCTTACGCATGGTCTTGGAGCCGGCGGCGGAGAGGGCGGGCGAGGGCACGTCCGGACCGACGAAGACGTAGATAACGATTGCGGCGAGCAGGTACAGGGTCGTGTCGGCGATCTGGAGGAGGGCGAGGGCCTTGGGCCAGTCCTCGGGCTTCTTGAACTCGCCGATGACGGAGAAGAAGCAGGAGTGGGAGGCTGTGAGATGGTTGTTAGCAAACTGTTTGGTGCATTGCGGCAAAGCTTAGGTTGGTGACTTACAGAAGGCGATGGCGATGTTGGTCACGGCGAGGAAAGCTCCGGTGAAGCCGAGCTGGCGGGTGACTTCAATGCTTCCGGATCCGATGGGGCGCTCGGCGGCGACATCACCAAGAGTAATCAACATGGCCAAGGTGATGGAGATGCAGGCTAATTCTCGAGGTCAGCAAAAATGGTTCTTGCGCGACACGAAATGCGACGGGGAATAGACTCACAAGCCATGGACATCCAACTGGTGTACTTGAGCGTTCTCGGGAAGTTGAGGACGGCAAAGACGGCCAGACCGACGACGGCCCATACGATGGTGCAGGTGGACGAGTTGGTCAGGGTGTTCATGCAGATAGTCCAGGTCAACAAATGGCTACCCATGACGAAAACCTGGAAAATGACCTGCGCCCAACCAAAGACCTCCTGGAACACGCGGCCCATACCGATAGACTTGCCGATAACCTCGACAGCGTCGCCAAAGTTCTGCACGAAGGGGTATTCCTTGCGGAACTCGGCCAAGACCAGACCGGAGTACGTTGAGAGGAAGCTCATGACGAGAATGAGGATGATACCCGGCACGAGACCGACAGTCGCGAGAACGGAAGGCAGAGACAGAATACCCAGGGAGACGGTCTCAGCGATCAGGACGATGCCACCTTGCCTGCGTTCAAGAGTCAGTAATGATGTTCAGATTTGCTGCGACTCGGTTCAAATTTCGGCCTCAACATACCACCATGTGAGAGTCTTGTAGTCGATGAGCTCGCCATCCTCGCCGGCGAGCACACTGTTATCCTCCGCCGGGGGCGCGTAGGCCGGCGCGGCATCGTTTCCGACATCCTTCTTCGTTGTCTGTTCCATCTCGGGGTTGCTGCTGACCTCTGTCGCGTTGCCCATATTTGTTCCTTCTAGGTGGTGAGAGCCTGGATAGCTCGCTGGATGATATTAAGGTTTCGAAGAGTCTTGTCGGCCGTCCGGGTTGTTATTGACTGACACCTGCTCCCACGTCACAAAAGTCGAGTGATCCGTCGACTCTGTCTTGGCAAGAGGGAAGAGATTCAAGGTGTGGTCAGAGGAAAGGGAAAAAGAAACCACGGACGTCTGGGGAAACCGCTATTAAGCCAAAGAAGAACCAATTCCATCGGAAACCCATTCCTATGACTCCCACCCCCGAATCCAGGACTGCAGATTCTTGATATAATCCACCACGCGCGCCGCGATCGGCCTCTCTCGCTGAAAAAGCAACGAGGCAAAATGTCATACGAGGCATCTGCCGAGGCGATCTCGGCGCGTCCGGTCCACGTTTTCTGGTCCTCACACGCGCCAGACAGCGAGACTGAGGACCTTCACGGACGGGGGGTGGGCGCGCGGGCGGGATGGGCGCTGCAAACGGCCCTTTGCGCCTGCAATGACTCGGTCCCGCAACTCCAGTCCGGCCCACTCGGGCGTGGCAATTTGACGACCTGGACCCTCTGTCTGCCAGGACTGGAGCCTCATGTTCCAACGGAAGCCTTCCGCAACTTCTCTCGTGGAAACTGAAAGCTTGGTCAGCTTCACAAAGTGAGGCCATCATCAGGTTATTCACGAGTTGCTGCATCTGCGGTCTCGGACTTGGCTGCTCTACATGGCTTCATCACCATTTGATGATTCTTGTTGAGTTCCTGTTGACTCAAAGCTAACATGAGCTACCCCAACTTTTCCAAAAAGTCAATCGCCTGATCCAAAAGTCCCCCAAAAATGCCAATGCAGCATTGACCACAGCATTGACCATGAGAAAAAAATGTCAAATACGCCTCATAAAACTTTTCAGGTGCGCATTACGGTTGCAGGTCCACCAGTTGGCTAATGTTTACGCTATAATATCCACTTGGCACTACTTTTACTAATGTTGACGTCCCAGTTGGTTTTTGTGCCCCAATTTCCCCTTTCAAAATTTTCGGCCCTTTTTCCCCGCGTGGTTCCCGTCCCACCGTCATGCGCGTTGCGGTCCCGACCGCCGGTCCTGGGTTGGGCGAAACTTGCGCACTGCCGGTGGTGCGGGAGATTTTCTGGTTTCCCATCACATTCTGCTGTTCATCCTGCGCCGGCCGTCTTCTAGAACCTTGCAGCCTTTCTTTTGTAGATAAACTTTGGAGCGAACTCTTGGGGTGCAGAAGTCTGGCGGGGAACGATGATCGGCCGACGCAACGTTCCATGTTCGGCGTTGCATGTTATTCTTATTATGCAATGTAGATACACGTGTCTGCAGAAAATCGCATGGTTTCTCGTAAAAGTGTTGCTGCCTTGTGTGAACCCCTATCCTGCTTGCCCCGGATCTCAGACGATCCCCGCAATCTGTCGGTAAGATGCGTGGCTGGGAGGGTATTTCCCCGTGATCGTTGACACTTGGGTCGTGCTCTGTCCCTTCCCGCTATTTTCCCTGCATTGATAGATGGGGAAATTCTTCGCTATTACGAGAAACTTTAGAAGCACGGGGAAGCGGTGCAGCTGACCCAGCTCGGGCAGGCTCGTCATTGCTTTCATCTTATGTAAAATTGTCATGTATGCGTGTTGAGCTGCAAAAGCCCTTTTTTCGATTCCCTTCCCCATCATCTTTTGGTTTTGAGAAGCCCAGTGAAATGCAAAGACCTAAGACCACCCATGTTCTTTCCGGGTCAGACCTTTAGAAATCCGATACGGGTGAGATATATTAGGAGTTGGTCACATACAGGCACTCAAGAGAAACACGGAGTTGCCCTCTCGTCCTGAGGGAAACCGCGGTCTCGGCTTTACGTGAGGCTTTTCTTGTCTTTCATGTGAACTGAGCTAAACTTATTCAATTAGGAAGGTTGCATGCAAAGAAGTAGAGCCGAGACCAGTTGACATCGGTCACAAGCGTCAACACTTCACTTTCAGCACCTTGAATGTAACAGTTCTTTGGGCCGAGGCTTGTTCGGAGTTGAGGCCAAGCGTCAATCCTTTGGGGCTCTTAAGAATAAGATAGCTTCGATTATAAGCTATGAAAACAAGCAATCTGTTCTCATTCAATTTTCCAGTTGTTCCGGATACTTCCACCCGACGTTTCATGCATCGAAGAGCACCTATATAGCGGTATTTCGCGTGTTGATAAAACACGCGCTAATAATGTCATGCCTAGAGTTGTTAATAATTACCTTAAGATACACGTGAATATCGAGGAATCGAGTGATAAGAAGGTACAAAGAAAGTCTAGATAACTCAGCCTAAAATAGAGGGATACATAGCGGCATTATCAAGCTGAGAAGCTAAAACTTGAGATATCTTACTCATGTTTAAACTGGCTCCCGCTAGCTGAGTCTCCTATTTTCATAGCAAGTGGGGCTTCTCGATTTCAACACTCTACATTGCAGATAGCAGTAGCTCAGGTGTACACAGCAGGCAATTATCGTTTATTTTGTAGGTGGCTGGAATTTCATTATCATTCAACGTAACCCCTTTCGGTCCTCGGCGATTGATCTATGCACTCCAACATAATAAAACCCCTGTGGTTATCTAAATTCAGGGTAGTCTTTGGTGTACACAGCGCAAAACCAATTTTCAGTAAAGGTTCCCGATAAGAGCACATGAAATGTCACTCTTCTCTATTCTAGACTTGTTGCCTTCCAATTCTCGCCCCCCTGAACATTTTGCAAGGCCTCTTAGCCTTATAAGTAGTTGCCAGGCTTTGAGTACACGCTCACTGTCGCCGGTTAGACGAAACCAGCAACCCAAACATCCATAGACCTAACACCTTTCAGACCCCCTTGTACACCCTTCAAACTCGCCTCGCACGCATCCCGCGATGCAAGGACCACAGCCCGCTCCCTCTCATCGCTCACATGCTCCTCCACCTCCCTTTCGAAATCGGAACCTAGGCAAGTACCGACTTCCCACTGCCCGTCCAACAGGCCCTCGCCACATTGCACCAAGGCCTCAGTATCCAACTGCCACCCGGCAGCCAGAGCCAGCTCGGTCAGCCTCTTAGCCCCCAGCACCGTGCGCACGTTGGACTCGCTATCCTCTTTGCAACACTCTAACGCCGCCTGGGTGAGGGCAGCTAACACATGAGGCTGCGCAGAGGGGTCCGTCGCAACTAACGACCATTCCGCCAGGAGTAGACGCTTGCTGTGCTGCTTGAGGGCGCGAAAGGTAGAGACAATGACTGAGGGGGACGCGAAGTACCACATGCAGTGGGCGAGTACTGCTGCGTCCAAGGTCTCGCTTTCACTGGTGGAAGAGAGGGAGGAGAGGTAGTCCAAGGGCGGTTGCTGGACCCAGGTAATCCGGCTACCTAGAGGGCCTTGAGAGATGTGACTCTGTGCTTGGCCCAGAGTGTATGGAGCGCCTGTAGGACACATCAGTCAGCTGAATTCTGAGACAGAAGAGCAAGGTAAACGAAGGACTAACCATAGTCCAGGTCGGCCGGATCGACCGCAACCACGGCCCCTTCCTCGCCCACGGCGGAGGCAATAACAGTCGTGCAGTCACCCTGACCGCATCCTAGTTCCAGGACCCTGGAGCCGACAGGAATATTCCAGTGCTGCAGGATTGCCAGGCGGTGAACGGTTTGGGAGAGCTGGATGTTGAAGTGCTTAGCATCGTGTAAGGAGACACGAGCGATGGAAACGGCATCGAGTTGGGTGGACATATTGACCGCGATGGGGGTTCAATCACGAAACGGATGGGTTGAGAAAACTCGGGAAAGGTATGGATGCTGACCATCTTATAGAGACAGACTTGGGGGGTCGCCTTGTTGGTGCTTACATGTAGGGACACCCGATCCGCGCCGCAGCACGACATACACAAGCGCTGCCCTGCTTACCCCGCCTTTGTACACCAATGTCATATTGCCGCAGTCATTCACTTCCGTCGCCTTACCAATTCGAAACCAAAGCTTGGCAACATATCAATTTGCTTGAAGCTCACATGACATGCCACGCGCTGGCATCTCATCTCCACCACCAGACTCTCGGCCTCGCTGGGACATGCAAACTCCACTGTTGTGCTGTTCGGCTGGGCTGTAAGATCTAGCACGCCAAGTAGCTCGCCGCGAACGGGAAGGGCCGAGTACGACAACGTGTCGTAGTCGAGCTCGTCCATGCTAGAAGCGACGGGGGCCAAGGTAGGCGAGGGCGCAATAACCTGCCAGACTTCGACTTGCGTTATGTCGCCTTTGGTTGCGAGGTCTTTCACACGCGCAGAATTCTCAGGAGGCGGCTTCCAGGAGATTGCGCACGCATTGACGCCAGCGGAAGGTACGGGAAAGCGCATGATTGTCGAGTCCTTGTCTTCTGTAAGCTATTGGAAGGGACGAGCAAACACGAAATGCAGACCTCGACGGTGATATAGACCTGAGCCCCATGACCCCACACGGCATTCTTGAGCTTCCGGCTCACGCGTACAATTCTATCCGGCCAGGCGTGGTGATAGACCTTGGGAGGTGGCAGCATCTTCGCCGCCCTGTCCAATCCCAGTCTTGCGTCGCCATAGGGGAGTGCCTCGAGTTCAGAGTCGGAGATGGGGTAGAATTGGTATTTTGACAATGTAGCCGGAAGAAGGGCAACATTAGCAACTGATAAAAGCGCTACTGCGAAGGAGAGGTAAAAGATGAGCCTGGGTAGCTGCGAGGGCTTGGATGGCGCAAGCGCAGGGAGGGTTTCTGAAGCTTCCAGCAAGGGGGCAGAGTGGTCATCGTCTTCGTCCTCCTCAGAGGAGGAACGCTTCTCGAGAGTAACGCTGGAGTACTGGCCATTGTCATGCAGCGCGAGGGGCTCATACCGGGAAGAGTTGGACTTTCCTTTGGCGGAGAACATGGTGAGAGGTTGGGGGCAAAGAGCAGAGCCACGCGAGCAAGAAGGGAGAGAGAAGAAAGGATAGACAGAGAGGATGATTGAAGTGAAAGAGGGAGGGCGAGCGCGAGGAGTGAGACGGCACGCGGTGGACGAAGGCGAAGTCGGAGTAGGCGGTGGCGCTCATGGTGCTTACCCTGCAACGGTAAGTACTGCGTAACTCATATCCTGTAAGATCTGATCTTCACCGAAGTACTGAACATGCATGCGGCACACTCAGCTCGGAGAGCAGCATCCAGAGATTGCAACATTGTGGGCCTGCATCACGCCCGGCCATGGTACGCATGGCTGCCTAAATGGTTCAGGGTTTCAGGAACTTCTGAATTCACTCCGCCCGTGCAAAGACCCAGCTTGGCGACCATACACATCGCTTTGTAGTGACTTCACATTATGGATCTGCATGCATGGTAAGCAAGATACCTCTGGCATTCCTGTATGTATTTGACAGCTCCTCCTAGTTGGTAGTGACGGCCTCAATAGTGAAGCGAATCGGACCGTCTGAGCCTGAGGTACTTCAGTTTAGGCCCTCTCTCTCTCTCTCTGCTGTGGAGGACAGATGCATCGTCACATCAACATCGTGCCGCACTTGAATTCTCTCAGTCAACCATGTCCTCCATCCGCACCGCAATCACCTTCCTGCTTGCCCTCGGCATCGGTATCAACCCCACATCCGCCGCACGTGCTGGCTTTCATGTCCAGTTCCCATGGTTGTCCCGCGGTCAAAATCCCTGGACCCGGCCGGAGATAGACCAGTACAATCCTTTTTGTCGTATGATGACTTCCGCCTCCCGTTTAGCAGCAGCGTAAACTGAAACAGAGAAGGAGACATCGTGCACAACCCCCAAAGATACGCCCACCGCTCCCGCACCTTTCTCTCCTTCTCCGGTTACCCTGGGGACCTTGTGACGGCGCTCTATTCTCGGAGCAGAGTTCCGAGGAATAGAGACGACTTTCCTCACATCATCCTACAGGATGTGCCCATCCAGCCTTCGGGGCAGCTGTGCGTGAATGTGACGATACCGTTTCAGACCAAGGTGGGCGAAATGGGGATCATGTACTTCGAGGCGAGGGATCCGCAAACTGGGAACGTGGAATACTATGTTTGTTGTCCCGACACTTCAAATAGCGAAGCTGATACTAATGCGAAGATAGTGCTCTGATATCCAGATGGCCGACATAGAGGCTCTTCCAGAAGAGCATCCGGCTATGTGTGCTGCCGGTAACCAAACACTGATCCCAATGCCGGATGAATTTTTGTAGATACAGGATGGGTATGTCAGACTAAGGTGTGGCTTATATTGACAGAGACGATGGTTTATCTTAGGTGTAGGAGACGAGAATAGATGTCTACCTGTACTGATCATATACATGCTGTTCCTAAATTCGCAGCTTTGCGCCTCAATCTGCCTTAAAGGGCAATGGCTCGTTGTAAAACCGTGCTATCATCTGAAGAGAAAGACAGGACCCAGCTTCCGCAAAGACATGGAATAATATGAACACGTACGGAAAGAATCATCGAGAAAACATTTGATAAAACCTTGGTTGAATGTGATATACTGCTATAATAACGAGTGTGGTGAATATTGTAAACAACACCTCAGCCAAGCACCGAACTACGATCACTGGAAGTTCGCAAAATTGCAGTTGCACCGTGCTACATCTCCCCTTCTCGTCGGCTAGCTAAACCTACCCCGTACAGAAAATGCCCCATAACGAAACTCCCAATCTTCCTCATCTTGCCATTACTGTCTCTGGATTCATGCAGACTCGTCATCGTCCAGAGCGTACTTGTGCCTCTTCTCGACCGCTGCCTCATCATCGTCTACAGCGTATCTGTGACGCTTCTCGAGGGCAGACTCATCATCGTCCAAAGCGTATCTATGACGCTTCTCGACACCGGCCTCATCGTCATCCAAGGCGTACTTGTGCCGCTTCTCGACGGCTGCCTCATCGTCGTCCACAGCGTACCTGTGCCGCTTCTCGAGGGCAGACTCGTCGTCGTCAAGAGCGTATCTGTGGCGTTTCTCAAGGGCAGTCTCATCGTCATCAAGAGCATACCTGTGACGCTTTTCGACGGCGACCTCATCGGAATCCACACCATAAGTATGTCGGCGAGCCAGATCAGCGGCCGGAACCGCTGCGGCCTGAATAGGGAGGATGTTGAGGCCGAGGCTGGCGAGGCTGAGCAGGGTGATAGCAAACTTCATGTTTGGAGTCTTGCGGTGGGTGGATGAATAGATGCTTCTCACGGGAAATTTGAAGATAGAGATGTTTCGTTGATCAGCAGCTGCTGATGCTCGTTGTGTCCGAGGTAATTTATGTGTTTCGCGTTCTCAAGCGGACAAAGACTCGGGTAGTGAGTACGAATAATAACCATCGAAGCCTTCAACAAGACTTCGAAGGATTTGCTGGCATGTACACTGAGCTGCATTATTTTATGAAAAATTCTTTTGTGAATTTTTATGTAACTAAAGGGAAATATAAGTGTTACGAGCGGGTCAGGGCAACCAACTGTGGCACAAAGCAAAAGCTTCGATAATGACAAATCCGTTGTCATTGTCCCCTGTTCTGCACTATATAGTTACGAGCCTACAGTGACCAACTGTAGCGGTCGTAACAATAAGGACCCTTTTTTCCTC